TTTCTTATATCATTTTAAAAAAAATTAACCGAAAAGTTTTTTTGTTCATGACTCGAGCTTCAAAACTTATCGGCTAGTTTTTTCTTAAACTAAAAATTGACAGAGCCTTTGGCATTTTGAAAATTCCAAATTTTGTTATATGTTTAAGAATCGAGACTAAGTAAATTTCGTGTAACAATGTTTACAACATATATTGATTTATTTGTATTATTTATTTCCTTTTTTTTATTAATAATAAAAGTTCTTTACAATAAAAAAGTTTAACGAACATATTACATGCTACTATATACACTCTTTGTATTTATCTTCATTTATATTAATAAAAATGCATAATAATAAAAATAAAATTTCAATTTATTATTACTATTTTGGATACAAGCAAATGATTTTTATTATTATATGTTGTGTAACTCAAGTGTGCATGATTGTTTTTTTTTTGTAAAAAGATGAAATTAGAAACAATTGGAATCGCGTCTACATTTTCATGAAATTAATCCTTCCAATTACATTATCATCATTTCCGCGAAAAAAATTGTTTTCAACCACTACGATGATAAAACCGAAAGGAATCGTTGCTGTCATAGGTACGACAGGAGTTGGTAAATCCAATTTAGGTGTTCAATTAGGAAAGGCGATAAATGGTGAAGTTGTTAATGTTGATTCAATGCAGGTCAATCAATACCTGTCCATAATTGGATGAATTTATTTGCGATCATCGACAATAAATAAATTAAACAATAATTGATGATTTATAGGTATACAAAGGATTAGACATTATAACAAATAAGATTTCAGTTGAGGAATGTGAAGGAGTTCCACATCATCTGATGGATTTCTTAGAAACACATCAAGAATACAGGGTCACACAATTTATTAAAGATGCATTACGTGTTGTATCCATTGAATCAATGGAAATCAAATCATAAAATCATAATATTCTATCTATCCTTAATTTATTCTACTGCTTTATTTTTGTTTTGAAAGATCAAAGAAATTCATGATCGTGATAAAGTACCAATACTGGTTGGAGGAACACATTATTACTTGCAAAATTTGATTTGGAGAAACTCACTTGTTACTACTACAAATGATGTTTATGATGATGATGGTGATGGTGATGATGGTGATGGCAACAATTGTTATTATGATAATGGAAATGATGAGGTAGATGATGAATTGAATGAATCAGATGAAAAGATTCCAAGTAGTCAAGATCCACAATCAATATATAAACAGTTACAAGTTGTTGATCCTATAATGGCAAATAAATGGCATTGGAAGGATACAAGAAGAGTTTATAGGAGTTTGAAGGTGAGAGAAACTGGGCAGTAGTAATATTGAATGTTGGAGATGGAGATGGAGATGGTGATGGTGATGGTAGTTATTTAATAATTACTTGTTAATGACTTTTGATTAGGTTTATTTGGAAACAGGTAAACCACACAGTCAATGGATTAAAGAACAAAATTTGCAGGATCAGAAAATAAAATCTTTAAGGTGGAGTTTGAATTGATTTATTTTTAGATAATAAATAATTCCAAGAAAATAAAAACCACATTAAATGTAAAATTTTTGCTAGGTAGATTTCCTAGGACATGTATTTTCTGGTTATATGCTGACAACAAAGTACTCGATCCTAGACTAGATTCCAGAGTTGATAAAATGATCCAAGTAATCTATTACATGTGATATTTTATATCATATAATACCATGCCATATTAATATATTTACTGAACAAACAGAATGGACTTTTTGAAGAAATCAAGTTTCTTAGAAATTTGATAAAGAATGGAGAAATACATGCACTTTTAAGAAATAATAAAGTTGATTATACTAGAGGAATTTGGCAAGCTATTGGTAAACAAAAATCTATGGTAACATCTTTTATGCTATCCCTATTAATTAACAAGTAATATTCTTTAAATCATAGGATACAAAGAATTTGATAATTATTTAAGTATGTTGGAGTCAAATACACAAAATGAAAAAAATTTGGAAGAATCAAAGAGATCAGGAACAGAATTGATGAAAATAGCTACTCGTCAATATGCTAGAAGACAAGTTCGTTGGATCAAAAATCAATTATTAAGAAAGTGTCAACAACAACAACAACAACAACAACAAAAATCTTTTATCAACAATAACAGTGGAGATTGGGTATCATCATCATCAATATGTAGATTATATTTACTAGATGCAACTAGTAATGATTAATAAAAATTTTTAATTGTTATTTCCCTTGATATTATTTTGAAAATTAAATAATTATTAATTGATATCTTTTCATTTAAAAAAAAAATTTAAAAAAAAAAAGATTTAGAAAATTGGAATCAAAATGTTCGTGATATAGCCATTAAAACAACCAAGGGTAATTATCAAATAACATTTCACTATTTAATGTAAGTAGATATATTCTAAAATTGATTGATTACAAAACAGAGTTTTTGGAGACGGGAATAGGACCTGATCCAACTACAATAAACGATTTTGCAAACAAAATGCTAAGTTCAAATTATAATCAAGAAGAGTAATTAAACATCCATTTTCTTTTTTTTTTAATAATATTTTTTTTCTTGTAAATTATAATAATAATAATAATCACTCCTCCCCAAATTCTATAGTGGATTTTCTAGATTGAATACATGGAAAAAATATCAATGTGATATTTGTAAACTATTTAATACTGATGAAGAGGACGAAGATAGATCATCAGTAGCATTCAACGGGAAAAATGAATGGGAACAGCATTTGAATAGTAAATGGCATAAATCTAGCATTAGACTGAAAAAAGAAATTGATGAAAAATGGAATGGTGAATTACCAAATTGGATAAAAAAAAGAAAAAACAGAAGGAAAAAAATTTGAAAATTGATTTAATAAAATTATTTTTAGATAATTTACAAATATATCTATATATACTATTCTACATTTATTCACATATAATTTATATATGATTTATTTTTTATGTTGTCTTTAATCTTTATTTAATTAATATCTAATGTTGTGTAATCTATTTTTTCTTGTTCTCATCATCCATGTCTCCATCCTTTCCACCACTGTTATTGCCTTTGGCATCTTTTAATTCTGATATTAATTCCTTTAGTAGGCCTTTTAGTGTAACAACTTCTGAATCAATTTCTATGATTTTAGTATTTAAATTTTTAGCTAATTGATTGTTTTCTTCTAATTTTATTATATTTCTTATAGTTATATCATTATCATTATTATTATCATCATTATCACTATAATTATTATTATTATTAACATTATTATTAGCATTAACTCCACCATTAATACTACCGATGCCAATATTATTGCTGTTGTTGCTGCCACCAGGAATACCACTACCAATTAATTTTCTCTTTTTAAAGTTCCATAAACTATTTTCATTAGACCTTAAATCTTTTCATCAAATCAATCTACACTGTAGAAAATCATTCTTACTCTCATATCATTTAAATATACAACCTCAATGACCTTTAGATTTCTCCTTCCACTAATCAAAATTATCACTATGACCAACATAATGTATAAATTTTGGTTCATTTGGCATTGGCCAAAAATAAAATTTCTTGATTTTTAGTCTACAATCATTTCTGTTTTGAATCAAAGACATGCATATCAACCTTTTGATGCTGCTTCATTGAATATCCCATCATTAATTAATTGGGGCATACTGCAACAAAACCAGACAAAGTGAACATTGGTATTACCAAGAATTTCAGGATCAAAATTTAGTCATTTGCAATGTGATTATAATTAACAGTTTTATAATATCCCGTTTGTTATATATAGAATTACCTCTATATAAAAATAGTTAATATGAAACTCATTTACATCAGATCTACAATGGAACCCAAGAATTATAGTACCATCAGAAGTGTTTTAAAAAAAGAACAAGGTGAAAAAATTGCTCCTTACATTTTCAAAATAAATGATGCTCAGACACTTGAAACTTACTTATTTAAGAAAAGAAAAGATTACCTATGAAATTTACCAAGAGAGAAAAATAATAAATGTTAGAAAAAGAAAGCAGAATGAAAGTATGTTATTACCCAACCAACAGCAAAAATCTTTAAAAGGAAAATAACTACCATTTGATAGTTGGAATGAATTTCAATTTATACAGAGGGAAATTTCCTCAATTACTTTTTTATTTTCAATCAAGATCATCTTTTAGTCTCTTTGACTTCAATTTGAGCAATTAATTGACCATTCTGTTGATCTTTTAATTTCCTGTTTTCCTCTTCTAGTTCTTTAATTCTTTTTTCTAAACCCTTTACCTTATCTAATAATTCCTGTTTTTGCTTTTTACTTCACTTTTCAGATTTTTCCTGAAACTTGGCTATTTCCTCTCTTTCAATTTCTAATGCTTTTTCAGCATTGGCTAATTCTTCTTGTAATCTGTTTATTTGTCACTCATAAAAAGTAGTCATGCTTTCCCTTTGATTAGGTAAATTAGGAAGTTCTTTCTCCTTTGCCATTTCCCTACAGTTGCAAGTATACTTACCACTAAACAAATCCAAATCAGTTTTGGTCTGCAATTTGCCACATTTTTCACACTTGGGCAATTCATCGTTCTCAAATTTTTCTTTACAATTTTTGCAGATTACATCAGCTGCAATTAACTTATTGGTCATCTCATGACGAGTTTTTATTAGATTAGCACATCCATTATTTTCACTGTAATTAGAGCAAAAATCACAAGTTCTACTCCTATACTCTCATGGCAAATCTAAAAGTGTATATCTTAATTCTTTCATTTATTGTAAAGTGTAAAAATTATTTATTTTAACTTCTATTCTAGCAACCATTTCTTGCTTATTATTATGGTGTTTCACCTTTTTTGTTAAGTTTTGGAACTTATTATTATGTTGTTTTTTAGGTAAATTAGGTAAAGGTTTTCTAAATAAGTGTAGTAAATCTTCTAATTTTTTGTAGTCTGCTTTCAACTTTCTGAATCCTTCATTAATTTTCTCCAATTCTTCCACTTTTTCATCTCAATCAGCTTGGATTTCCCTGATTTTTTCATCCCTTTTTTCAAGATTTTCATTAGCAGTCTCAATTTCTAATGATTTTTCTGCTATTTCTGCATGTAACTTATCTCTTACTTTACCATTTAACCCTTGCAAAGCTCCAATAAAGTCATAATGGATTTTAGCATCTAATTCTGCTGCCACAATTTGTTCTTTTTGTTTTTCAATAATTAGTTCTTTTTCTTTTAAACTCTCTTTCAACTCAACATTCCATTTTTCTTACTCAGCATTCTTTTCTTCAAGTTTTTTATTTTGTTCAGAAACATAACTGAGAGAATTACAACTAAGTAATGTTCACTCTGTAAAACCTTTAATAATGTTTTCAAAGGTGAATTCATTACCAAAAACAGCTTTCTTAACTCCACTTTCTTTTTGAATCTTTACTCAACCATCCTTAGGTCAAAAATGTTGTTCTAAGGTCATTAAAGTTCCAACAATTTCTGGACTTTCATTTTCCATAACATTATTAGCTGCATTTAAAATTCTTAATTTAAATTCTTGTTCTTTATCTGCTAATTGTTTTTTTAAATTTTCTTTTTCTTCTAATAGTTGTTTATTTCTCTCTTGGAATTCATTTATTGTGTTTACCATGATTTTTTTATTTATTTGCTCTTTTAATATACTTATATCCTTTTTATGAGGGCATATTAAGTATATAAATTATTTTAGTACTTTTCTACTTTAAAAGTGGAAAAAGCTAGTAATGTTTGTCAAAAGATTAAAACTTATTAAATTTAATGACAGCAAGGGATAAATTAACAAGTGATGAAGTCATTAGAGGTAATTTTATCCTAAATATTTTTATTCATTGCCAGTATAGATTGGTCTTTGGTAAGTAATATCTTTAAATTCATCTTTGACAAATGGGCAAATATTATGATAAAGATATTCTTGCCTTTTGTAATCCAAAGGAGGTGGTGTTAAAACTAAAATAGATAAAGATTTAATCTCTTCAAAAATATCTGCTTTCTTAGTTTTCAATAAATTGAATTCAGCAAAAGGTCCATTAACAACTTCTTGAACTTTCACTGCACCAAAATTAGATGCTTCAAAAAGAAAATGATGATATTTCTGGATACCTGGTAATTTCTTAAAATAAATTCCCAAAATTGCTTTAATATCTAAATATTGAAAACCTTTTCCACCTTCATAACATTGAGCTTTATTTAATCCTGCTGGACTAGACTTTTTTACTACTGAAACCACATGGTCCAGACAATCTACTCTTGTTCTTCTATAGAGTTTTTTGATCGTCCCAAAATTACCATCACATTTGAATTTAGTATGTCCAGGAATCATGAAATTCAATTCAATACTTTCATAGTAACCACAAATTACCAAATATAAATAAAATCAAATAGTAGTTAACATGCAATATACACTAATTGTTCATTAGAGTTTTGGCAGTCACCAAGAGGTTTTAGCAAGCAACCTTAATGTGATTAAGGGGATTCATTTTATAAGGTATCCATTAAGGAATTCAGAAAACCAAAATATCTAGAATAATAAAAAATTTTTTAATAAGTATTTGGAAACAAAACTCTTCTAAACTTCCTCCTTAACTCTCTTGCTTTTAACCACATCGCCTGATTTGTCCTCATAAGTCCCTTATCCTCCCTCAACTCCTCACAATTTATCCTCTTTCTAATTAAATGTTCCATTACGATCTCCTCCTCTCTAATTCCCCAGGGTGATCTAAACCCCCTCCACCTCACCTCTAAGTCAATAATACCATCATTTTCGTCATCACCACCTTCATCCTCCTCACCCTCCTCACTCTCACTCTCACCCTCCTCACTTTCATCCTCATCACTACCATTACCACCATCCTCATTACCACCATCACTATCTTCTACCATTACCACCTCTAGCACCTCCTCCTCCTCCTCCTCCTCATCATCTCCTCTACTATCCTCTACTGCCTCCACCTCACCCTCTTCATCCTCTCAACTATCCTCTCGACTATCCTCTTCAGTATCCTCTTCAGTATCCTCTTCATCCTCCTCCTCTCCAATCAAAATTTCTTTTATTAAATCTATCGTTTCCAGTGGGCATCGATTAATCAAATTAAAAATAAGAGCAGCTTTCTCGGAAGATGGCACCTCATCAAACTTCTGGATCCACACATCATCAGCAAATTCATCATCACTAAATTCATCATTGGTTATAATAAAAAAAAATTCAAGTTTATAACTAGAATGACAACATATTTCAATATTGCACCACCACCACCACCACCACCACCATTCTTAAAATGCTTACCGTTCTCTTTCATCACGATTGTCTACTTTTCTTCTTCTATTTTGGTTTTTTTGTTGCGACATTTGTATTTATGAAAAAAAAAAAGAAGTTCGTTGTTGATTGACGCGTCACACTAATTATTTATTAAGCAATGGACATTGCGTATCAAATGTAAATTCATATGTGTAACATTACGAAAATTGTCGATACCCATTCTTAAAAAAATAATTCCTCCGTTTTCGCTAAAAAAATAACTTTCCTATACTATTTAAAAACTGTAAAGCCTAACTAAAACTTTCAAACGAATATTAAAACGGAAGGCTAGCTTAAATATTGGTTATTCTACGACAGGCTGAAAGTACTGCTTTTATTGACACTCATCTCAAGATTATCAAACAACCAGTGGGGGGAATGAAGCAAAATTGAGTAGATATGTGTATTTAAACATTCTTTGCAAAGTTTGTTAAAAACTCTTTGAAGGTTAAATTAGAAAAATTTTCACTTTGCTTGCAAGGTGTTGAAATTTTGATTGACGTAAAACAATACCATTATTATCTTCATTAATAAATTGCCATTTCATTATTTTCAAGAATTAATTTCTCAATCTCTGATTCTAGACATCCATTTAATGTTAACATTGGTGTGGAAGGGGAGAATGAAATGATATTAATATGTAGTAAGTGTTAATATAAATAGGATTATTCAAACTCAGGAATAAATATAACAATAATTTTAATTTGTTTATAATATCAAATTATAGTTTCTGGATAAATGATACATTAATATGGTGAAAATTATATTTTATTGATTGATCAAAACTATTAATATTGTAACTTTATGGATGTAGGTGTCAGTAATCATATTTTTTTCAATCCAATAATAATTTTAATTTTGTTAAAGTACTTTACTTCTTTCTATTTGATATAGTTAATATAGTTCCAGTTTATTGATAACAATGATAAAAATAATTGTAAGCATAATAATAATAATAATAATTAATATTTATTATCAATTTTTTTAATATTAATATTAATATCAAATATAAATATTTTACTTACGATGCTCATGTTATTATTTTAGGAAAATTGGAAGTGAAAAATAATAACTTATTATTGGTAGTGAGCTTTATGACTTGATCTAGAAAGATAAGTGAATTGATATTAATATTGATTATTGATTTACAATGAATTATTTATTTTATAATATACATTAATAAAAGTCAGCTTTTTAAAAATATATCCAGCAAAATAGAAAAGAAAATTTGAAAAATATAATCACCATTTGAATTTTATAAAAAACAGATGATTTTAAAGTGACAATTATATTTAAACTTCCTTAAATTCACTAAAGTCAAATAAATTATGGTAAATCATTTATTTAAATAAATTAAAAAGTCATTATTATTAATATTTTCTTGACATATTTTTACAAGTTTATAAAATAGATTAAAAATTTAAGAGTAATAACAGGTGTCAATGTTTAATTAAGACAGAATTACAATTAGTATTAGGCAAATATATATTTAATGTTTAATTATTATTTTAATTATAAAAATTGTATGATGATTTCTGAATTAATTATAATCTGTTTTCAGAAACTGCTGTTAATATTCATATTATATGAATTATAGTGACACACATAATGTTTATGGTGACAATCTAATATAAACATTGAAAATATGTTCTATTGGGACTTACACTTAAAAAATTTACAGGATAGATTAGGACATCCTCTTCCAAATTTACAGTTTATTTTTTGATTGATCGTGGGAAAGTTACAGAAGTTGCAATTTTACTAGTATGATACAGGTCTATGAGCAAGTCAAAAAGAAGACATCACCACCATCCATATCAACTACTACTGCTCCTCAAACTCCTGCTTCTAATGAAGGTATAACTACTTTTACTATTGACATGTGTATAATTACCACCAACATTAATTTTGTTGATGTAATAATTATTTTTCATAGATAGTATTTAATTATTAGTTAATTTTGAAAACTTATTTATCTAATTATATATATTCAATTACTTTTAACTGTTATTTGTAAATAAAGTTACATTTATTAAAATTATAAGAATCATATTAATATTTAATATTTAATAATTTCTTGGGTAAATCTCATTACCCCAATAATAAAAAGAGAAACATTGATAAGAGCTTTTGATGCACTTGAATCCAATTTAAAAATTTTAAATCAAACAGAGCTTTCAGTTCATAATTATTATATATAAGCTAACAATGTTATTATTTATTGTCCTTTATTCTTTTATTATAATATTATTATTTTTATCATTTATTTCTTTAAAATAAATAAATTATATATACAAAATGTTTAATCCAAAAACAAGATTTTTAAGGCAACTTACTACCACTATCTTTTGAAATCCTTTTGACAATTAATTAATGTATATATTTTTATTATTTATTCTCCATGGTCCTCATTTGAAAACGAGACTCTTATAAAAAATGTAGAAATAACTGATGGTTAGATATAAAATTATCAAGTATGATTTACACTTATAAAGTAGAAATTGGTTTAATTACCATTATATATTGATTACTATTTAATATCAATAACTATTATCCTGACAATATTAATAGGAAAAAACTAAATGTTAAAATGATTTTTTAATTAATTTTATCTAAAAATATTAATTGAGAATTAAAGAAATTAAAAAATAAAATAAGTAAATAATACCTATTATATATCAATAACTATTACCTTGACATACCTCGACAAGCATCAACTATTGAATACATGGAAAAAAATATGTTCACATCAAAAAATTTAATTTTCAATTTCTGATTCTAGACATAATATTATTATATTGATTAATTAATAAACTATTATGTTATATTGATTGATTATGATTTATTGTTTCCTTTATAAGATCCATCAAAGAGGAATAATTAGAAAACCAATCCAGTAATGTATAATCCACCCATATAATCATATTAGTTGTAATAATAATACTAGATTTTTTTTATGAATCAGAAAATTTATTAATAATCTCCCAACGCATCAAGATTCTAGTTATAAAAAATAAAAAATAATTAAAAGTTTTAATAAAAATTATTTTGTATTGTAAAAATTTAATTTATAGTACAATTTTACCTATTATAAAGAAATACAAAATAAAATTATTTAATTAGATGATGTTTTAATAAAGTTTATTTTGTTCTAAAAGTTAATTTATATATAATCCTTACCAGCTGGTCACAAAGAAATAGATTTGATTAGGTGATGTTTTAATAAAAATTATTTTATATTACAAAAGTTAATTATAATATAATGCTTATCATCTGGTTGTTATAAAAAATTTATTAAATTAGATGATGTTTTTAATAAAATTTATTTGTGTTGTAATAATTAAACACTTACCACCTGGTTATTTATTAATAAAAATTATTTGGTGTTGTAAAAATTATAGTATAGTAAAATACTTACTATTACATTCTGGTTATTATAAAAATAAAAAATGAATTTATTTGATTAGATAATGTTTAATAAAAATTATTTTGTGTTTAAAAGCTAATTTATAATATAATATACTTACATGCTGGTTATAAAAAATTCATTTAATTAGATGATATTTTAATAATGGAGCATTTATTCTCTGGTTATTATAAAAAAAATAAAAAAAAAAAATAATTTAATTAGATGATGTTTTAATAAAAATCATTTTGTCTTGTAAAAGTTAGTTTATAAGATAATGCTTACACCTGGTTATTATAAAAAAAAAGAAAATACAATTATTATTATTTAATTAGATAGTAATAGTAATAGTGTTTTAATAGAAATTAATTTGCATTGTAAAAATAGCATAACATTTATATGCTGGCTATTCTGGCTATTATAAGGAAATAATATTATCCTATTGGCTTTTTTTTTGGGAGGACAGACGCGAATTGATTTTTTTTTTTTTTTTTTTTTGGAAAACAATTTATTTTTTGAGACAGTCCAAGGTGACAAAAACGTGAACGTTGTTGGTTTGGTTTGGGTCTCCTAAAGAAAATGTGTTAACAACTAACCAGAGGTACTTTTTTTTATTTGTATTGTCTTTTTTGGTTATTTTAAACATTTTAATTGGAAATCAAAACGTGGAGCAGATCTTGCTGGGTAATTACAAGATTTTCATTGATAATATTTTGCTTTTTGTGATCGTTAATATTATTAATAATATTATTATATAATTATAATCATAGGATGTCAAGACAATACATTGTTAAAAAAGAAACAATTTGAAATGCAATGTTTGATTATCGGAAAATAGCAGGCGTTGAAACATGCACGCTACCTTGAACACTTTACAGTCATTATCACATCTTCCTCGTGTACAAAAGGCTAATCTGACCACGGTGCTCCTGATGATATGATGATGCAACAGAACTTTCAGGGGGGAGGCCCAAGGCCCTGGAGTTTACCGAGACTGCACTAATCGTCAATGATGCTTTCACTAATCTTCCCACACAGCACCAGACCAGAGAAGGCTGTTGGCATGCTAGACAAAAAGTTGCCCACAACGATCCCACCTCTAGGGCAAGGATGGCACTGTGACCAAGTCGCAACTCTGCTGATGAATTGTAGTGCCATGTAAATATCCAGATCCATCAAAGCAACGAGAACCTGCAACTCGTTTCAAGCACAGGAGGTTGCAATTCAGAACAGGGTTGGTGGCCCTGAAATTGCATTTGGGCTCTGATGTCAAGAGGAAAGTTGTAAAATAGTGTTTGTTTTGAATAATCATTTTCATAAATTCTCCATTCTCTGATACAAACCAATTTATAATTTTGGGTAGGGGTTTGCCCAATCAGTTCTCTGTCCTGTAGGTTAAAATTATTGCATGATTATATACATTTTTGTCAGCAATATGGCCAACAAGAAAAAAGTCATAAAAATGGTTCGGATTTTGGTATGTTTTGTATAAGTTGATTTTCATAAATTTTCTGTTTCTCTTTAATTTTTGTTTGACCAACTGAATTTGTTTTTCGAATGGGGGTAGGGTTGTTGATGAGTAAGTATGCCACTGACCAGACAGCAACTCAAGACTCAAAACTCTGAATCCAGGAAAAACCAAAACAGCAACAACCCAGGTTGCAACCTTCCAAGTTGGAGAATTTTCAAACCAGTTGCAGGTGCCAACTTTATTCTAGTGAGAGAGGGGTATAACACACAGCAATCATCACCCAAATGTCAACTCTCATCAGCAAACAATGCTCATATGGAAACAGCCAGCCTGGTCTAAAGGGAAGATAAGGGAAAGTTTTGTCCAAAGCCTTCCAACTTGTTTGGATTACCTCACCTGTGGGAAAAAATTCTACAGTCATGAGGAGGTGTGAGAACACCTTATTCCATGTTGGTGATAGGAAATTTCAATTAAATCTGACCCCTGTGATCAACATCAGATTTATTATTTATTTTAAGGAACCATAATTGATAATCAGGAAAAATAATTTATTATTGTGAGCCAGAGATCTGAGTAGATACATATTGTTAAGAGTTTCATTTATGCATGGTCTTGGTATTATTACTACCTGGGTGATGCAATTGTTTGTTATGTCAATGATGATGTCAAATGTATTGCATAATAATCATGACCATCATGAATATTTGATGGATGAAGGCATTCACATACAAGGAAATGATTAAATAGCTAAGTCATGTTTGTTTTATTAAAGGTGTATAATTAATTATATTTAAAAAATTATTATTTTATTTCACCTTTGTAATGGCATTAATTTCAATAATTCTGAAATTGTTTGTTTCTTAGTGTTAATGATTGAATCAATCACACAAGTGATAGTCAGTTTAGATGGCTTTTTTAAAAAGGTTTAGTTGAATTATTAAATGTTTTTTTTATTAACACTATAATATAATGGTGTAAACGTTCAAATAATTATCACTTAATTATTTAAACAATGTTAACGAACAGGTAATTTAATTGTTGTTAAATTAAAAGTTATCTTTATTTAATTCGAATTTTAGATCTTTAAATAATAAAATTACAATTCTTAAAATATAAATATAGATCATGAAAGAAAATAAATAAAATATAATCTCTATATTGTATGGAAGCTTATAGACTTCCCGGAAAGTATTAATCTTAAGATAACATTCATAAATAAATATAATATAGTAAATATAATATAATAATAATAATAATTATACACCATCGCCAAAACTCCTAATAAAAATAACAATAATTCAAGGAAAATAATACTCGAAGAAAAACGCAATAATCCCGATTGCCAAATTAGTAATAGCGAATTTAAAAAATTAATTTCTCTACATTACCAAATATAGTATAGATTAATTGCCTAATTTCGACTAGAATTATTTTACCGATCGTAATCAAGATCAAGATTGTTACAAATGGCGTGAAAAAAATTTCTAATTCTGGAATAATTTTTTTTTTAATATAAAACTTTTTGAAAATCTTGCCGATTTTTTTCTTATTTGTGAAAGCCTTTTAAAACTCACTAACCAACTGTTGTTCCAAAAAGGAAATCTTTTTCAGGCTGTTTTTATTATATTTATTATTATATTTATATTTAATATCAAAATGGTCTTTGTTCCTTGGCTTTATTAAATTGATGTTTTTGGGAAGCACAAGAGCAAAATCAAAAGGTAAAACATTGTAGTGAACAATTTTTGCTGTGTTGACATCAAATATTAAAAACACTGATTTTTTTCTAATCCACACCATGAACTATTGATGTAATATTTTAACTAAATTTGGTATTAAATCAGGCAATAATATAGAATTTTACACCAACCATTATAACACTTAAAATTAACTATATGTCAGAAAAGAAAAAATGCCATTTTTGTAAGGAAAAATTAACCCCTGACAATTGAAATATTACAAGTTTCAAACCCACACAGTGCAACTATGTTAGACATTTATTTTTTTTGTAAATGTAAGGGATGTTATAACCAATACAAAGGAAGCGAGCAACAGAAGCAAGACAATAAGGAGAGATTAAAACATATAGAGCAATATATTAAGGATAATGAAGCCAACCCGTCAGGACAGTGGGAAGAAATAGGCGAGGAATGAAAAAAAGAAGCGAAAGAAATAAGGGAAAAGTGAAATATTAAAGAGGAACAACCAAGAGAGAGCAGAATTACTCAACTAAAATCTGAAATTCAGCAATTAGAAAATATTGCCAATAAAACCAGCAACCAAGAACAAGAACTAAAAAATAAAAGGGAAGAATTAAAAGAACTAGAAAAGCAACAATCACAAGACCCCAAGAAAACTAACTGAACCCCTTGACTAATTGGAGGAGGAGTCATTTTAATCCTAGTGATGGTAGGGATAGTTGTTTATTTCCTAGGAAAAAATAAAGAAAAATAAGATGGCAGAGTTTAAAAACTTATCAGATTTAACAACAAACCTTTCCCCCGAACAAGATTTTATTAGTTGCTTTGAAAAACTTCGTTGGAATGACAAAATAATCTCTCCTTTCGACCCTAACTCCAAGGTTTATAAATGTGCTAATAACCAGTATAGGTGTAAAAATACGGGTAAATACTTTAATGTTAAAACTGGAACGGCACTTGAAAACTCCAATATACCATTAAAGAAATGATTTGTAGCCCTATCTCTTTTTTCTTCTCATAAAAAGGGAATTTCTTCCTACCAGTTGGCTAGATATATCGGTATTACACAAAAATCAGCTTGGTTTGTCTTACATAGGCTACGCCGTGGGTTTTTTGTCCTATTTTTGAAACTGCATTGAAAAACAGTGTAGAAATAGACAAAACCTTTATCGGAGGGAAGAACAAGAATAGACATTGGGATAAAAAGGTTCCTCACTCCCAAGGTAGAAGTTGAAAGGACAAAGTCCCGGTATTAGGTATGTTAGAAAGAGGTGGAAATCTAATTACCCAAGTTGTTTCTAATACCCAACAAAACACTTAGAAAGTTCATTGCAATAAAAATACTTCTTAAAATCTTCATGAATTTTGCCAAAGTCAGGTCGATTTTCTGGGTTGGGATCCCAACACTCCTTCATCAAAATAGCATAAAACTGAGGTGTATCGTTAGTAATTTCAGGCAGTTTTCCTTCTAAAATATCCGGAATAAGTTCAAAATGATTATTATATGACCTATCATAGAATGGTTTCTTGCCTGTAGTGAATTGCCACATTATCATACCAAAACTATAAATATCTGACTTTTGTGTGTGTGTTCTATTTGATAATACTTCAGGTGCCGAGTATCTTATGACTCCAAAAATTTTATTTGGACTTACTTCTTTGTGTTGACATGACCCTAAATCTCCTATAACACACATATCATTATCATACGAGAAAATATTTCTACCATGTATGTCATGATGAATGTAATTATTGTCATGAATGTTTTTTAATCTAATTTATATTAATAATAAATAGATAAGCAAATAAATAAATAATTAATTGCTTATTTATTTATATCTATATTAGAAAAATCATAATTTTTAGCAATAATAATTTAAAAATTACCCTAATGAAATCCAAAAAAGTGAAGCAATTTTATCTTTCCAAGTAATTTCTTTGAAACTTTTTGACAAATGATTATCTAAATCTCCATTTGGAGCATGCTCAAATACCAACATGTAATTATCTTCGCCTGGATCTTTGGTAATTCCAAAACATTTGTTAACGGAAAAATAAAATTTATCATTTGCGCTCAGCTAAAAGTTTGCAAATAATATTTATTACGAATAAATAAAAATTAATTAGTGATATTTATAAAAAGTGAAATTTTTACCTCATTGAATATATCTGATATATTTTCAGAATTGTTTAACCGTTTTAACACAATATTTTTCATTTTTCTCCCAAATTCCTTATTGACTGGCTCAAAATAATTAACCCAAGTTGCTTTATAAATCTCACTAAATCCACCTCGAGCTAAATAACTCCTATCTTTAAATTCATTAAACGGGACCCATTTAATAGTTTTTGGATCTGCCCTATACTGATAAAGAAACCTAGCCATTTCTTCATTTTGACATTTGTCAATTAATTTCTCTATTTTTTTTTCTTGACAGGTATTACATAAGTTGCTATTTAATTGATTATCTAATTCAAATGTTTCTCCAGTTAATTTGTTGATTACCTTTTTTTTAATATTTATTTGTAAAAGCTTTTTTAATACATCAAGTAATTCATTAAGTGATGTTATAATTTCATTATCATTTAACGACCTTGTTTTACAATCAATGCAATTATCTATTGTTTTTAATGTTTCAAGTAACTCACTTAATGAATTATTTAATCCAACTAATTCAAATTCATCACCATCTCTTTTATTTAATTCACCGGTTAATTTATTTGAATCAAATTTTCCTTTGCCTTGCAGTAGTGGATATGGCATTTTATAATGATATAGTTAATTTGAAACATGAAAGTATTATATTTGTCACACGAATGAAGCAAAAACTTTATAAATGTATTTTGTATTACATGAAAAATATTTATTATTATATACTACTAATTTTTTTCAGGTCATTCATTCTATTAAAGAATCCGCGAATAAATGAGTAAAAAACGAGGGAAAATTGACACAAAAACAAAAATTAGGACCCCGAACAATCTTAGGAGATGATGGTACATTTCAATTTTGGGTAGAAATGACCCTCAAAATCGAATATCATTTCTTAATTAGGATAAATTTTGTGATGATCTTGTAAATTATTTCCAAAAATGGTAATAAAGTGGGTATTTTTTCAAATGTACCCAGTGTGTGAAATTGTGTGCGGGCGCGTGTGTTACATAAAAAATGCGCACATTTGTTGATCATCACCAAAAAAATTATATTGAATAACTATTTATTCTTACTTTTTTATTTGTCCAATGCATATGCTTTTTCAAAATTAAAATCTTGAATATCTGGACCATTTAGTAAAATCATTAAATGATTATTCAATGTATCTAGATGCATTCTGTTTCTCAATTTGTTTTTTATCAAATTTGTTTGTGAAAATATTCTTTCAAGATGTGCATTGGAAAAAGGTATAAGGAGTGCTATTTTAACAATAATTGTTAAATTTGGATAATTGAAATAAAAATTTTCATCTGTATCCAAAATGTGTTTCCACAATCGAATAAAATACATTTCTGTGTTTTTATAGGTATACAAATAGAATTTTAGAGAGTTCCACTCTTCTATGAGCATTCCTTTTTCAACAATTTCACAAAATTCATCATTAACCAATTTAGTATCTCCATAAAATTCATCTAAAAATTCTATCTCACTCTGACCATATAGATTTAAATCATTTTCAGCATCAGGAAGTTCATTTGGATCAAAAATTCTAAACAAAGAATATAGTTCAGAGTCAGGGAATCTATCATTGATGGCTTTTATCATTGCTAATGAGTAATCTTTAACAAATGAAGGTGCTGAAAGGTAATTTTCTTCTAAATAATTTTTGAGTATCATGCCATGATTTGGTAGAACTTCTCCATCACCTATAAATTCTGCTATTATCTCTTTAATTGCAGCATCAATGTTTGGTTTATATTGTGATAAAGATAGATTATCTAATTGAAATATTTTTATTAACCTTTTCAAAATATTCATTAAATCAGCAAGAAACATTGTTGCAGAAATGAAATCTTGATCCAATTGTCCAAATAAAACACTTGCATGCTCATCACCTTCTAACATATCATCATTTAAAGCAGCAAGTACTGAATTCATGATTTGATGTAAATTATGTACAGAATTTGATAATGACAGCCATCAAGTGTCACATAAATTCAATACTTTGAGTGTTGGTTCATCATTAATTTCCTGCATCAATTTTAATAAGTTTAGTCTTTTATGTGATCTAGAAAAATATGAATATAAATTTCGTAATATTCTTTCATATTTTTGAAAATATTCTACTTCATCAGAAGCATCCTTTCCAGCTAAATGAAGCCAATGTGATATACAATGAATTGAGGACATAAAAGGATTGATTTTTTTTAACCTTGTAGCAACACCATTTTTATTTCCTGTCATATTTGAAGCCCCATCACTTCCAAAATGAATTATTTTGTGATATGATATTTCATTTGAAATACAAAATGATAAGATTTGGTTATAAATATTTTCTGCAGTGGTAGATTCTAGATTAATCATGCCCAAATATCTCATATAAGGAATATTATTAACAATATATTTTCCCACAATTGCTAAATATTTATCATTATCAATACTGTTGGCTTCATCAATCATTATGCTCCAATAAATTGAGGAATTCAATTCTTCAAAAAGTGATTTTTTTATTACAGAAGCTATACTATCCAAAAAATCAGAAGCAGATTTAGAATTTGTATAGCTCCCATATGCTGATCTAGGAGTAGATGTTTTTTCTAAAGCAGCAGGTTTCAGAGTAGATGATTTTTCAGCAATTATTAATTCATTATTATTTTCAATTTGTAACATCATTAATTTACATAGATCAGGATAAATATGAGAGGAAAGATTTTGTTTAGATAAAAAATAAACATTTCTCATTAATGAAAAAATTGCTAATTGATTTCTATTTATTTCATTTTGAAGTTGCAACTCTGATGCTTTATGTTCATGGGTTATTAAATGTCTTTTAATTCCTTCTAGACTTAAATCTGTTGTGCCCTGCGCAAATTTTGTACTTCCATTTCTGCTTCTACAAAGTTTACAAAAAAAAAGGACTATATCTTCATTTTCTTCATCTTTTTCTAACCATGTATAATCATGAAACCAATTTTCATTAACAGTTTTTCTATGATGTTTTTGTTGATTAAGCATTTTTAAATAGCAATAAAAAATTGATTTTTTTTTAATCTAGATTTTATTATTTGATTAAATTGAAATATTGAGTTTTAAAAAACATCTTGTATTTATGGTATTTTAATCAATAAACATCAAAATGGATTTATTCTAGCATAATAATAAAAGTATATTTGTTTATTTTTGGTTATCAATAAAAATAAAATTATACCCGAAACCATCAATGATTTATTGTTAACAAAAATGGAATTATTCTAGTATAATAAATAAAATTATTTTTTTTTTGGTTATTAATGAATGGAATTATTCTAATATAATAAATAAAAGTATGTTTTGTTTATTTTGTATCAATAAAAATAGAATTATACCTAAAAACATCAATAAAAGTATATTCGTAATAATAAAAATTAATTTTTTTCAATTTTGTTACACGAATTTTCTGCACAAATCCTGCTAAGAGATTATTGGCTACCTTTAATGTAACACACGCGACCGCAAACACTACTGTAACGTCGATCATTACAGTCCTCAAATTTTTAACTGATTATCGAACAAATTTTTTATTTTGTTCATCCATGCTAAAATTTCTATTCTTGACCTGGTTATTAACGCAATATTGCATGTTTATTATTATACTGTAGATTATTCAATTTTACAGGTCATCCGGACCATCCGATAAAATCCAACAGATGTAATTTGAACGGGTGATGGGTTGAATTCTGAGGTAATAGTAATAGTAATAGTAAGTAACGGATGAACGGATGAATGACCTGTTGGTGGTGCTATCATCAAATCTACCGTTAAACCGAAACACTAATTAAAATCTCAATCAGCCGAAGTTTGGTTCCAAAAACAGTTATTATTATTATTATTATAGCAAATATACCTAATAAACCGAATTTACCAATACCAATACTAAATAAACCAAATTTTTTACTAATACTCCCGTTGGTTGTAATGTCAATCTGTACGAATTTTTTATAGTGCTATATGCACATGTAAATTCGATAAGTCGAACGCAGCAATCAATTGTTTAAAGTACTCGATAATAAATATATGTATATATTAAAAAAAGTTCATTA